GTTTGAGCTTCCTGCCAAAGTATTCTTTCCCGAGTTTCGCGTTTCGAAATGGATGGACGGGGATGGGAGGGGGAGGGGAGAGAGAGAGAGAGAGGGAGAGACAGGTTAATTAGGAGATTGAGATATTTACGTTTTTTACGGGATAAAAAGGGGGAGAAAGGGAGGGAGAAAGGGAGGGGAAGGAAGAAGATTCGGAGGAAGATCGGAGCGACGAAACTTTCGACAAGATTGCCTTGTCGAAAGAGGCACGAGAGTTGACCGATGATCTTTCGTGAGAGTGATTAAGCTTTCCACGCGACCCGAAGGACGGAACGTTTGTTTGACCTTGACCACGAGGAGACGCTAGTTATTCCCGTATTTATTACGGGCCAAAGCTCAATTATGCCGGCCGACCGACCGTTAGTCTCGGACCCAGCTCGAACCAACAGCGTCGTTTCCTTCGCACGAGCAAAAACTTTCCCACAAAATTTCTCGAAAAGTAAAAAAGATCGTATATCTCGTGTATTATATATATATATATATATATATATATATATATATAGATGGGACGATAGCTGCTGAGTTCGCTGCTTCCTGTTCTCCAACCCCTCCTTCTCCTCCTCCTCGTCAAAATTTACTCGAATAACTCGACTTCATTGCAAAACGATTGCAATTTTTTTTGATTCTCTGACGAAACTCTGATCTACCCGACTCGAAATATGTTTCCTCTCTTCGAAAAGAAACCATCTTTCTTGATCGAATATCAACACAAATTTCATCTCGAAATACGACAAAGTCTTTCGTGACATCGCTTTATCAAAAGTACATGAAATGGTGGAAATCGTGGATAATAAAAATTCCATTTTAACGTATCGTATATTTCCCGGGATCAAATCGAGGAAATCCCCCCTCTCTGGTATCGAGGTTGACCGAGATCTCTTTTCGAAATTCCGAAAAACGATCCTCTCTCTTTCTCTCTCTCTGCCCGATTTCGAAGGCGAAAGTAATGGTACACCGCACGGTTGCCACGGTCGGATTCACGCACGCGGGGTGGGTGGATCGACAGGTAAAAAGGGATGGGACAGGTATCAGGGATGAGGGTAATTGAGACGTCTTGGATCCTTATTGAGGACGCGTCGTCGGGAATCCTCGCGACAATCACTCGTAACCTTACACGGCGTCCCGGAGGAGGACAATGGCGGTGCAGAATGCGAGCGATGTCCTGGTGCGAGCGATAGCGGAGCATCTCTTCCGGGACATTCAGCCGGTGGACGCGCAAAGTGGGGAATCCCACGGGACGCGTCGATCCGGTCGGGCGTCCCTCTTCCCTCCCCCCTCCTCCTCCTCCGCTTTCCTCTCGTGGAAACGGCACAAAAGGTACTCGAGGACGCGATCGCGCTCTTTTTTCTCGAGCTGTCGCTGGAGAAGGATCGAGGTGTCCGTTGGATAAACTCGGTGAAAGTCCTCCTTTTTTCTCTCTCTTTTCTCTTTTATTTTTGTACCGTTCACCGAGGTGTACTCGAATCGCGGATTCGATGGGTTTTGGCTAGAACGAGACGAAACGTCGAAACGTTGGTTGGAAGCACGTGCTAAACGATCCCTTCCACGTGGAGGGAAGGTTCGATTGGGGAAATAGGGAAGGAAGAAAAGGAATTGTTGGCTCGTTAAGAGAAGGAAACGGTATCGGCGAGGATTCTTCGGGGAGAAAAAAGGAAACGGGAGACGAATTTACGTGGAAAGTTGCCTGTTGGAAAACCTTCCGGCTTTTAGGTCACTGGGTCTTCTTGTCACTAAGCCATTGTCTCGTAGATTGACGCGAATATTTATGTCGTTTGGTCTTCTTCAACTCGATCAGCTCGGGTACCGGGGGACAATGCGACGGGGAAATGCGACGACGAAGAAACGGAGAGAGAGAGAGAGAGATGGTGAAATGCCCTCGTATTATAAACCTGCGCACTGCACAATTCCCAATGCAAAAGGGAAGGGAATTTTCCCTGGAAAGATCGTAAAGGAGAAAACGGAGGGCCGAGAGAAGGGAAGAAGTCCGCCACCGAGCGAGTACCTTTTTCAAAAATTTCCTCGGAGGAAAATTTTACGACGACTCCTCTCCTTCCCCTTGTTCGTCCCTTGTTCCGTTCACGAACGTTAGATGGAGCGTGCGTCTTTGTCCCCCCGCAGGGATACCGAAGGGGATTGTGTCGGGGCGAATCGGTGACTGGCGGCGGCGGCAAATTTATGACGACTCGTCGTCAAGCCTTGGCAATGCCCGCCACGTTAGAAAGCTCCCGTAAACTTTTACGGCGTGAGCGCACCTCTTTATTTCCTGCCTGGCTTGGAAATTATATGGCGCGTGGCCTGCTGCCGCGACCGACCACCGGCCACACCGAGGCTACCCGAGAACAGACCAAACGAGACGGATAATTTACACGGCGAGGAGACGAAGGAGCGGGGAGCGGCCACGCTCGTCCAACTTTCCCTCGATGGCCTTCGAAGGAACCGGGTGACGACGAATCTCTGCCTTTCCTTGTGCGCCAACCACGTGCGAAATCGTTTCCACGATTCGTCACGGATTATTTTCATTTCCTCGACGAGAGGAGAACGGGAGGCAAGATTTCAACTAAAAAATATATATACATATATATTTCTCGAGGAGCAGGAAATGCTCGTGGAGGCATTTTCGGAAGATGGAATCGGTTTGGAATCGGTCTTTTGTCGAGGGGAGAAATGTAGATCGCGATCCGGGAAAAAACAGGAAATCCCTTAATCCGATTCTTGGACGTATCCCTCTCGTATACGTATACGGAGGGAGCGTGTCTTCACGGAGGGATTCAGGTATATCCGAAACCGAGACTCCGGCCGACGGTCGACCTACGAAATTAGACACGCGTGGCCGAGCTGTTCCGCGCGCCGCAATTTCGCCGAATGCGGCCTGTTTCCAGACTCGTCGGTCTCTCGGTGCGAATACTCGGTGAAGGCGTGACGAAGAAATCAAAGCGAGACGCAGTTTCGCGCGCCCTTGTTTGCTCCGAGGTGGTCCGAGGAGATGGAGCGAGAGATGGAAGAAGGCTGAAAGCGAGTGTACGACGAATTTACGGCGGAACGGATTTTTCGATAATTTTAATTCCGCCGTCGATCTCTGTCAACTTTTTTACCCGAAAAAAATCGCTTTTAACCGGAAAAGTCGCGAATGAAAAGCTTCTTGCGTTGGAGAGATGTCGATTCGTAACTCTTGTTTCGAAAGCTCGTTTCGAAGAAAGGGAATTAACACGATGGATATTTAACGAGAAGATAATCCTGTGACCTAGCGCTAATTCGGGATTGTATAGTCGAGGATCGGTGACAAAATGCTTTCTTTCGACGAAAACAAGGGTTTCACGAAGTGTACAAATATTTACTCGAGAAGCTGCGTTGATAATCGGATTAATTTTTCGGCAAGGAGAGAAACGGAGACGGAGAAACTCAGCTTCAAATCCTATTTCTCGTCGTTAATTTTTTTTTTTTTTTTTTTTTTTTCAGAATAACGAATATTTCGTAAGGGAGAAGGATGATGATCGAATAATGGATAAGTCGAGCAGGTTGTAACGGAATGATTTGGAACGGTTGGAGAGGAAGGAACGTTTGGCGCAAGGGGGGAGTGAGTGGGATGGGAAAGCGAGGTTGCACAACGCGGCCGTGTGGTCGAAAACAAAGGTATCCGGTGTCCGAGCGTATTTTCGAGAGGAGATAATACGATTTATCGGCGGGTGGAGGGTAATTGGGGAGGGTCCGTGGATCGAAGCGGTAAAAAATAGAAGACGGGCGCGATTCGATGTTTCATCGACGCGGCAATTACGCTTCCGCGATCGAAATGAATGTCGAGAAATTGAACATTATAAACAGCTCGTTGGCCGCGATGCTTGTTAGCGAGAGAATCCGCTCGGTGTGTATTCGGTGTGCCGAGGTCCCGGTGCTTTTTTCCTCTCTCTCTTTCTCTCTCTCTTTCACTCTCTTTCTCTCTCTCTCTCCTCCCCTTCCCCACGCGATACGTGGCATTAATTGTGCGTCGTTCGATCGCGAAATATCGGAAAATTCGGGGGTGAAAAATGGAAAAAAATACGAGTGCTCGCACGGCAATCGACAAAATTGAAAGTCGTAAAAAATCCTACGTCTAATCGTTATTTTCATCGTCAAAATACGGAACGATGACAACGGTTGTGTTGCGTTGCGTTGCATCGCGTCGCGTCGCGTCGCGTCGTGTATCGGTCGGTGTGTATCGGTGGTTGTCGGAATATTATCGGGGTCGAAAGCGCGAGCAAGGAAGGAAGGAAATGCAGCTTTCCAGCTTGTTATCCGTAATTAGGGCAGAAGGGGAGGGATAAATAGGAGGAGGGAGGGGGGATATTGGGCAGGGTTTGCGCGATAATAAAAGAAACGGAGGGGATATGCGCGTGGAGTTTTGAGGAAGATGGGGTGGGAATGGCAGGATGACCGTGGGCAGAGGTTTTCGAGAATGGTGTACGGTGGCTCGTAGCTGGAGCACCACATATGGGCACCCAGGAGTATTAGATAATGGTGTTAGCTGTATATATATAT